ATACTTGCTAGGAGAACCTGTTCAGTCGATACGTGCTTGCGGCGAGGACATTGGTCACAGAGAGCTTTACATACCTTGGTAGTGTAGTTCATAACTCTGGGCTGTCAGACCAGGAAGTCAACAGACGGATTGACCTGGCAACAGGGGTAATGAACTCTCTCGACAAGAGTATTTGGAGATGCCGGTACCTGTGCAGAAGGACTAAGCTATGGGTTTTCAAGGCCCTGATAATGCCAGTTTTGCTATACGGTAGTGAAACCTGGACATTATCCTGTGCCTTGGAGGCTCGCCTTCTGTAATAGGTCCTTGCGCCGGATCATGGGGTACAGCTGGCAGGACCATGTGTCCAACCAACGGTTGCACCATGAGACTGGCACAGGACCTGTTACCTGGACAATCCGGGATCGCCAACTCAGGCTATACGGTCACCTGGTTCGTTTCCTACAGGACGATCCCGCCCACTAGGTTGTCTCTGTTCGAGACAGCCCTGGGTAGAGGAGGCCTGTGGGACGACTTAGGAGGTCGTGGCTTGAGCAGATCGATCAAACCTGTCGTGAGGAGCTCGAGATGAGCCGAGTCCCTGCCTGGCGGCTTGCCATGAGGGACCCCAAAAGGTGGAAGCAAAGGGTGGATGCGGCTATGCGCCCCCGTCGGCGTCAGCCCCCAGATGATGATGATGAATGGTAATAACATCGACAGAATCTTTAAGCGGACAGTGATGGTGATAATGCTGATAATAAGGATAATGCTGTAACAATAATGATAACAATAATAGAAAGAAAAGTTAATAAATACAGGATATCAGTGTATAAGAATAATGATAACAATCATAACAACAATAATGATAACAGATTATAACAGTATGTAGTAATGTTGATAATAATAATAATGCTAATGCTAATGATAACCAGAGCAATCAACAATAAACAAAAATCATAATGATAATAAAAGTAATTATAATAGAAGTAATAAAAATAGTAATAACAATGACAAGAATGATAACAATAATAGTAAAAATAATAACGATGGCATCAATAATACCTTTAAGCATAATATTGATAATGACAACAGTGATTATTAAAATAATAAGAATGATGATGATAACAATAATAACCAGAATTTTAATAATGATAATGACAACCATGATCATAAAAATAGTGATAATGATAGTAATACATCATGATGATAATAACAATAAACGAATAGTAATAATAATCACGATAAAAATGATATCATTAATAATAATAAGAATAATGATAATAATAAAAAATAATAATATTGATAACATTCATAATATTCATGATAATAATGATGATTCTGATAATGATAACAGAAATGATAATAATAATACCAAAGAAAATAATGATGGCAACAATAATGATAACATTATACGAGTAAAATGGATTTTGTATTTCGCATTAACGAAGAGATAGATACAGCAAATGGACTGAAATTTCTAGCAGTTCTGGTATGTTCAACTCTGATTCTTGACTCTCCCCCCCCCCTCCCCCATTCCCTCCAGACGGGCGCCGCCGCTGCAGACGCGCTCCAGCTGCTCAGCGCGCCGCGCGGAGGCTGGGCCCAAAGGCCGAGCGGTCCGGGCATTCCTCAGATATTATCTGGGCATTTCTCCTATTTTTTCCATATGTAAACACATACACATGTACACACACACACAACACAACACACACACACACACACACACACACACATATATATATATATATATATATTATATATATATATATATATATATATTATATTATATAATTTATATATATGTGTGTGTGTGTACAGACACACATATATACTCTATTTTTGTTTATCATTATTTTTATTACAGATACCAGATGGCCTATGGTTCCATCATTCTGGGTCTGCTTCATTCTCTATGATCTTCGATTGGTAATTTCCGGTAAAGCGGCCTGGATCCTGAGCGGCCAAGACGAAGCCCTCCGCTTCGGCTCTCAGCCCTGCTCCTCGTAGCCTCTGGTGGGCGTTATTTTCTCTACATCAGCCTCCTTGGGACGGAGTGGGCCTTGGCCATGCAGTGACTTGTCTTCCTCATTTTCTCTCATGTTCTGAGGCATTCTCTTTTGGCTTTCAGTCTCATACATTTTGCTTGCTTGGTGCTTGCTCGACTCTCGCTGGTGCTAGTCTCTGCATTTAGCTCTGTTGGAAATTCCTTACTCTCTTTACTGGCGAAAAGTGCCTTCTTTCCTTGCTCACGAAGGGGTATTAATTGCAACATTCAATCGTCGCTAGTTCCAGGATATTTTTGCAGTCCAATTGCTGTAGTTCTGCAGGACAGTTCAAGCTGAGTCAGGCCCCTGCCCCTTCCCTTCTGGGGACATGAAGTCGGTCAGCATCTGGATCTGGGCGCCGCATCCTGTTGCACAATCGCAGTTTACGGAGTTTTGTGTCTGTTCTATATAGTGCTGTCTAATAGGTTCCAGTTGCATATAGCTATTGAAGCCATACGCAAGGGTATAGAGTGCTTCTATCCTGTTAGCGGAGTTTAATTCTGTTTCCGAGACAGCCTGTGCCCTCCGGTAGCATTCCCTTTCAGCCTTCTCCTTCTTGTTAGCATGCTGCACCTCGTTGCCCTCGTTCGTAGCAAGGTATTTGTGTGTCTCTCCTTGTTCCAAATTCCTTATTGCGTCATTTCTGTCGAGATTCACGTTCGACGATTGAACTTTCCTTCCTCTGTTCACCGCCGCCTCTGCGCATGCGTCCAGGCCGAAGGGCGTGGCGGTGTCATCGCTGGATTCCTGACTGTTTGCTCACTATCAGCATTCAAGTCCTTTGCAGTTTTTCGACACAAGCATGGCCTCGGATGCCGTGGGCGCTGGCTGAGGGCGCAAGACCTTTAAGAGCAATAATGCATTTAACAGCATCCATTTCAGACGGGATTGACATTATTTTAAAAAGTTAGTTTAGAGTGTATGTGAGTTTAAGTCATAGCAAATGCGATTTTTGGTTTAATTTTGCCAAAAAAAAAAAAAGAAGTTAGTTTCTGTTCTGAATATTTATCACTAAAAGTGACATTTTTCAATGTTTATACGTACAAACATACATTGAATGTACAATATCGTTAATAAAGCATTAATTCAAAGTCAGTCAGAAAAGAATAAAGGGAAATTGACGCTAAGATTATTGATGTAACTAACAACTGCATTTGGAAGACCCACTGCACCTTATCATTGAAGATATTTCTAATTTCTAACGCTCCAGTCAAAGTAGTACGATTTCTAAGTAGCATGAGATTTACAGGAATCAAAATCACATCTTTGAAAATCCTGTTCATATCAAAGGAGTAGGAGCATAAGTAGCAGTATAAGTATGAGTAGTAGCAGGAGTAGGAGTAGTAGTACGAGTACGAGCAGCAGTATGAGTACAAGCAATAGTACAAGTAGTAGTACAAGTAGTAGTATGATTACAAGTACAAATAGTAATGCTAATGGTACAAGTTAAAGTACAAGTAGCAATACGAGTAGTGTGGGTATAGTAGGACTGCAAGGAGTAGTAGTACTAGTAGTAGTACGAGTATGAGTAGCAGTAAGAGTACAGGTAGTAGTATGAGTACGAGTAGTGGTGATAGTAGTAGGAGTACAAATAGTAGTACGTACAGTAGTACGAGTACGAGTAGCAGTTTGAGCTTGAGTAGTAGTACAAGTACAAACAGTAGTACGAGTAGTAGTAGGAGTAGGAGTTGTTCCATAAGTAGTAGTAATAGCACGAGTAATAGTAGCTTTGAGTAATAGTCACAGTACGAGTACCAAGTAGCAGTACGAGTTCGAGTAGCAGTACGGGCACGGCGTCCGAGGTCGTACTTGTGTCGGAAAATTGGAAAGGACTTAAGTTCCTGGAATGCCATCCTAACTTTTCTCCCTTTCATCTTTTTTCTTGCGTTTGTATTATCATAAAAAGCCGCCGCGTATACAGGAAAGAAAACGATTGATAAGAATTCTATAGATGAGGAAATGCAATCCTTTATATTCATGCATGGGCATAATATAAAGTTCCTTTTTTGTCACTTTTTCACGTTTCTTTCGTAAAAACAATGATTGACATTGAAGGCGACAGTCCGCTTACGTCAAGTGTTCTTCCTTATTGTTAGTGCCTTTCATTGCCTATTCTTATTGATTTTTCTTCTTTTTTGCGTCTTATCTCATGTACTGACGTCATCACTTTCTCCAAAAACGTCTGGTCGAAGGAATGACGTTGTCTGCGTGTTTTCGTTGTTGTTTTGGATCCGACCTTCCTTCCGTGCGTCAGCGGCTCATCGAGTTACTTACATAACCTCATTTGTAATATTACTTTGTTTATATTATTGCTTCTGTGCCGAATCAAAACATTGCTATTGTTGTTAACTATACATTTTTAACAACAGCAATATGAAACAGTTATAATAATGATACTGATACTGATATTGATAGCAGTACTAGTAGTGATAGCAGTAGTAATAATAGTAGAAGTGATAATAAAAATGCTAGAAATAACAGTAACGCTTATGATAATGATAAAACCGGTGACAAGTAGTCATAGTAACAACAACAATAACAACGACAACAACAACAATAATAATAATGATAAAGAACATATAGAACATATAGATCATATAGAACCTAATAATGATACTGGTAATGACAATGAAAATGACAACGATAATAATAACGATAATAAAAGTAATGATGACAGATAACAGCAACAACAACACTGTTACAGCAGGCGGATGACCATTTCATCTGAAGCCCGTGTCCTATAAGTAAGTGGAAAGGGCGTTGTCCAAGAGGAGGCGCTTGGGGAGGGAGAGCTCTCGAAAGGGGAAAGGAACACAGCCGTAAACTCTGCGCACTTCAAGAGCGTCTTTGGCAGAGTTTCTCTCTCAATGAACTCTTAGAAGCTAACGGAAAGCGTCTTTTATCGGTGAAGTATTGTCTCCGGGGGGGGATAACGGATATCTCTTTGATAAGAGCAAAAGCTTGGCACCAAGGCACCTACAGTGTTGATGACGAATTAGAATTGGGCACTCCACAAGGGGCATTGTTCCCTACGCTGGTGGATATCCTTATCCACTCTCCATTCGTACTCGTGCTACTTCTCATACTCGTCCTACAGCCTTGATTTGTTCTACTGCTACTCACACTACTACTTGTACTACAACTCATACTCCCAGTACTACTCGTACTCCCGCTGCTACTCGTACTCGCACTACTATTTGTATTTGCATTACTACTCGTGCTACTTGTACTATTACCCATACTACTCTTAATATCACTCGTACTACTATTCTTACTACTTGTAGTCCCTCTTGCAGGAATCATAATACTAATCGCACCCACACCACTACTCGTAATACTACTCATACTTGCATTATTACTCACACTCGCACTAGTACTTGTACTACAACTCCTAATCCTACCACTACTCATAGTTATACTAATATCCGTACTCGTACTACTACTCATACTTGCACTACTTCTCGTACTACTCGTATAACTATTTGTACTTGTACCACTGCCTGTACTCACTACCTGTACTCATAATACTGCCCGTACTTGTAAAACTGCTCATACCCACCCACCTGTATTTGCACTACTACTCATACTACTAGTCGAATTAGTACTATTAGTCGTACTATTTGTCCTACTCACATTACTACTTATACTACTTGTATTACTACTCGAACTTACACTACTACTATTACTACTATTCTACTCTCTTCATACCGCCTACTACTCGTATTACTCGTACTACTTACAATACTGTACTTTACTACTCCTCACACTCACACTATTACTCATATTGGCACTACTATTCGTACTACCTATACTGCTACTTGCACTCTCACTACCCTTACTACTACTCGCACTACTACTCGTACTGGCACTACTACCTGTACTACACTTACTACTTCTCGTACTACTTTTCCTACTACTTATACTAATATTACTACTCACACTCACTACTACCCATACTACTGTTTGTACTACTTGTACTTGCAGTTCTACTCATACTAATCGTACTTCTCACACTCCTCGCACTTGCACTACTACTCTTACTATTTGTACTACTACCCGTATTATTTGTACTATTACTCGCACTAGCACTACTACTCATACTCGCACTACTACTCGTGCTACTCATGCTACTACTTGAATTACTTGAACTACTATTTGTACTACTACTACTTGCACTCGCACTAATACTCATACTGCTACGCTTACTACTTGTACTACTACTTGTGCTATTCATACTACTTCTCACACTTGCACTACTACTCCGACTATTATCATTATCATTAATAATGTTGTTACTTTTATCACTACTCGCACTTGCACTATTACTATTATTACTACTCGCATTACTACTCATACTCACACTACTCGTACTCAACTACTACTAGTACTTCTATTATTATGTGTACTTCTACAACTACTCAAACTCTTACTACTACCCATTCTCCTACTACTACTCATACTCATACTACCACTTGTACCACTACTCGTACTCATACTACTTGTATTCATACTATTACTCCTACTAATACTCATACTCCTAATACAACTCATAATACTACTCGTACTGCTACTTGTACTTATACTATTACTTGTTCTACTATATGCCTACTGTTATTTCTACTCGTATTCATAATATTACTCCTTACTCCTACTACTACTCACACTCGTACTACTTCTTGTACTAGTACAACTACTCTTACTCGTAATCCTACTGCTATTCGTACTACTACTGGTACTTCTTTAATCTATTCTGATTTACTTTGAATTTATGCTTTATTAACTATACTTTGTACAGATATTGGAAAAATATCACAAACTTAGTGATGAATATTCAGAACTGAGACTAACAAATAGCAGATCATATAAGCTGAGCCCACGGCGTCTGAGATCATACTCGTGTCGAAAAATGTCCATAAATGATTTCAAGGAATTCCTCAGACGTCATTCTAGTTTTTCTCCCCTTTATCCCTTTTTCTTGTATTTGTATTATCATAAAAAACCGACGTATATGCAGGAAAGAAAACGATTGATAAGAACTCTATAGACGGGGAAATGGGAAATGCAATCCTTTTTTTTTTTTTTTTTTTTTTTTTTTTTTGCCATGTGCATAGATATAACAAGAAAATTACGTTTTTTTTTTTTTTTTTTTTAGTCACTTACCACGTTTCTTTCATAAAATCACTGCGAATGGTATTGAAGGTGACAGTCAACTTACGTCATGCGTACCTTGTGTTGTACTAGGGTAAATATTTTCGCTTGTTTTTCAGCTCTATTCAATGCACTTGATGATAAAAAGGGTATAGATAGCAGTTATTTTCTCCGTTATTCCTTTTTACTGTTTACTTTTATTGATATATTTGTGTGTATATATACATTTTTCTTTGCCTCTAATTTCATGCACTGACGTCATTGCGTTCTCCAGAAAGGAATGACGTTGTTTACATTTCGTTGTTGTTATTGTTCCGTTTTTTTTATTATTAAATCCTATCTTTCTTGCAGTCTAATTAAACCCCTCTTATTATTGCCTCAGTATGGTGAAAAAATCAAGTATGTCTAGTTAATGTTTAATACCAACCTTAAAATCAACGGAAATTCTGTCACTTTAGTAGTTAGACATTTTGTACTTTAAATTAATATTTCAAGTTTTCAATTATATTCTCTCTCTCATTAACAAAGTCACCGCCGCTCCCAATGATGGGACGATGAACCGACAGATGGAAACCGAGGGGAGGTAGGATGTCCTCAGTGAGGAGGATATTAAAACTATTTAAATGGTTAAGGGAATTGGACCCCATACATGTGCCGTCTTCAAATCCCTTACACCGTGTTGCTTTATTTGTTCAAAGTGGGGACACGGAGCACTCGCCTCAAAGTGCTTGTTCACGAAAAGCAAAGCTGCGGGTGTGAGTTCCCACAGGTATGGCTGGGTGCTGGAGTGGAGTTGGAGATCGACGGGGGGGGGGGGGGCGAGGCTCCCCGACGGCGGAGGCCTAGGCAGGCTTGGAGTAGCTTCTGCTGTTGTCTCGCTCAGTGTGGAGGATCGTGGAGTGCTGACCTCGGCCCGTTTGGGAGAGCCGGGAGCTGACCATCTCAACCAATCAGGTCCCGGCATTACTCATCGAGAGGCGGCTGATGGCGAGGTGCGAGGACGCGGCTTTGGACCTGGACCCAACCTGGGGGAAGTTTGCCGTGCTTAAATTTGCGAGGGTCGGCTGCAGTACAAGTAATAGTACTGGTACTAGTAATACGACTGGTATGAGTAATAGTATGGGTACGAGTAGTATTATGGACATGAGTAATAGTACCAGCAGGAGTAGTAGTACGGCTATGAGTAGTAGTACTGGTATGCGTAGCAGTATGAATGGTAGTACGAGTATGGGTAGTAGTACAGGTTCAAGTAGGAGTACGGGTACAAGTAGTAATATGGGTATTAATAGTTCGGGAACAAGTAGTAGAGCGAGTAGGAATAGTAGTATGAATACGAGTAGTACGGATATGAGGAATAGTAGCAATACGGGTATGAGTAGTAGTGTGGGTACGACTAGTAGTACAAGTAGTGGTAGTAGTAGTACAAGTGAGTAGTAGTAGTACAAGTGTGAGTATTAGCAGTAGTACTAGCACGAGCATGAGCAAGAGCAATAGTACTGACATGAACGATAGTACGAGAATGAGTAGTAGTAGGAATAGTAGTACAGGCATGAATAGTAGCATGTGTAGAAGTAGTAGTACGGGTACGAGTGGTAGTACTGGTACAAGTAATAGTACAGGTAGAAGTAGTGGTATGAGTACGAGTAGTAGTACGGGCATGAGTAGTGGTACAGGCATGACTAGTAATACTGGCACGAGTAGTAGGAAGGGCACTAGTAACAATATGGACACCAGTAGTAGAGCGGGCATGAATAGTAGCACAGGGACGAGTAGTAGCACGGGAACGAGTAGTAGCACGGGAACGAGGAGTAGTACGGGCACGAGTAGTACTAGTACGAGCAATACTAGTATAGATAGTTGTAGTACTGCTACTGTAATTGCACTATTACTACTATAAATGTCTTCGGTCAACATTGCAATGAGTTACTTGTGTTTTGGGGAATATTTTTTTAAAGGCTACTTATAAGTTACAAACTTTACATGTTAAATAAACTGGTGTAGCGGTCTCGTGTATACTATCCCCTGAGAACTGATTCTACACCCCAAGACGCTTGACGTTACACTACTACTCGTACTCGTGCTACTCATGCTACTGCCTGTATTTGTACCATTGCCCTTACTCGTACCTCTGCCCGTACTTGTACTACTGCTTGTACTCTTACAACTACTACTCGCACTCATTTTCATACATATACTCATACTCATACTCATACTACTACTCGTAGTCGTACTACTACTTGTACTTGTACTGATACTCCTATTTGTACTACTATTTGTACTGGTACTCATACTCGTATTGGTACTTGTACTTGTACTGTTACTAATACTCCTACTAATAATAGCACTCGTACTACGACTTGTACTTGTACTATTTACACTAACTGTGCTCATATTATATACTATTACTAATGCTCATACTATTACTTGGGGTCGTACCGCTACTCGGACTCGTACTACTCCTCGTACTCCTCGTACTACTACTCGTACTTGTACTGCTACTTATACTTGCACTACTACTCATACTCGTTCTACTACTTGTACTATTATGCGTACTCATACCATACCTATTACTCATACTCCTATTATTCTCCATACTCGTACTACTACCAGTACCCAAACTGCTACCCAAACTACCAATCAT